CTGGGGCAATCCCAAGCACAAATGCAGGCTGGCCAGAGAGTGGATTAAGAGCAGCCATGAGGAAAAGGCCTTGGGGGTGTTGGTTAACAAGAATCATAGAATGGTTATGGTTAGAAAGTACATTAAGATCACAGAATCATAGAATAGTGAGGGTTGGAAAGGACCTTACAAACATCTAGCTCTAACCCTGCTGCCATGGGCACAGACAGCACACACTAGACCATATCATAGAATAGTTAGGGTTGGAAAGGACCTTAAATCATCAAGTTCCAACCCCCCTGCCATGGGCAGGGACACCTCACACTAAACCATGCCAGCCAAGGCTCTGTCCAACCTGGCCTTGAACACTGCCAGGAATGGAGCATTCACAACTTCCCTGGGCAACCCATTCCAGTGCCTCACCACCCTCACAGTAAAATACTTCCTCCTTATATCCAGTCTAAACTTCCCCTGTTTAAGTTTTAACCCATTACCCCTTGTGCTACCACTACAGTCCCTAATGAAGAGTCCATCCCCAGCATCCCTATAGGCCCTCTTCAGATACTGGAAGGCTGCTATGAGGTCTCCACGCAGCCTTCTCTTCTCCAGGCTGAACAGCCCCAACTTTCTCAGCCAATCTTCATATGGGAGGTGCTCCAGTCCCCTGAACATACTCGTGGCCCTCCTCTGGACTTGTTCCAACAGTTCCATGTCCTTTTTATGTTGAGGACACCAGAACTGCACACAATGCTCCCAGTGAGGTCTCATGAGAGCAGAGTAAAGGGGCAGGATTACCTCCTTTGACCTGCTGGTCATGCTCCACAAGTTTTGAAGCAGCAGCTCAATATGATGCAGCAGTGTGCCCTTGCAACCCAGAAAGCCAACTTTCTCCCGGGCTGCATCAAAAGGAGTGTGACCAGCAGGTCGAAGGAGGTGATCCTGCTCCTCTACTCTGCGCTGGTGAGACCCCACATGCACTATTGCCTCCAGCTCTGGGGCCCCCAAAATGAGAAGGACGTGGACATGAACCTGCTTGTGTGCATCCAGAAGAGGGCCACAAATATGATCAGAGCCTGGAGTACTTCCACTACTAAGACAGGCTGAGTTGGATTTGTCCAGCCTGGAAAAGAGAACCCCCAAGGGAGACCTTAGAGCAGCTTCCAGTACAAGAAATCTGGAAAGGGACATTTTACAAGGGCATGTAGGGATAGAACAAGGGAGAATGGCTTTAAAGAGGGTGGATTTAAATTAGATATTAGGAAGAAGTTCTTCTTTCTCATGAGGGTGGTGAGGCACGGGCACAGGTTGCCCAAAGAAGCTGTGGCTGCCACATCCCTGGCAGTGTTCAAGGCAGGTATTAATGGGGCTTTGGGCAACCTGGTCTAGTGGAAGGTGTCCCTTCCCCATTAGTCACTGGATGATTTTTAAGGTCCCTTCCAACTCAAACCATTCTGTGATTCTATTAATTCCCTAAGGGAAGATGGAAAGATGAAGAACCACTCTTTAGTGTTGGTCAATGCCTGAAGGAAGAGGGAGAGGTGCAGGTGAAGTACCAATGCCCCGCCATGGTGCCTTCTGGCCATTGCTGTTCTTGTGAGCTGGCTGGAGCCTTTTCATGCAAAAGCTGAAGACTTTCCAAGCAGTTGCTCTAAGGGACTTCAAGTTGTCTGTAGCCTCTCCCCTGGTCTCAAGATGGGACTGACTGTGCTAATATCATTCCTGAGAGATAGCAGCCTAACCTGTTCTTCCTAGATAATCTATCCCCCATGTTTCACTATTACACAGCTTAATGCTCCTCTTCTGCAGCTTAAGTCCATTAGCTCTTGAGGCCGGAGAACAGTTTGTCCCTTCTATTTTGCAGCTATTTTGATGTGTTTGAAAAAGGTCATCATGTCTCCCCTCAGTCTCCTCTGCTCCAAACTAAGCAATCCCAGCTTCCCAGCTCATCACACAGAAGCTAGGCTGCTGCTTGCTGGTGATAGCTTTCAGTAACTGCTGACTGGGCTGGATTTGTACCAGCAGCCTGTAGGTGAAATCCTTCGGCAGCTTTAGCTCTCTGAGCCAGGCTGTCCTTTCAAAGATAGGAAACTTTCTTCTGTAATCCATTACAGTGCAGCCATAAACATACCTTATAGTGCAGTGAATTTCTGGAATTTTCTTCATTACATTACAATATAATAACAAACAAAAAAAAGGAAAAGACCTTACTCTGTGACAGTGTCCTGAATGGCTGAACATAAAACAGGATTCTAAACAGGCCTCAAAAAGTAGAGAGGAAAACACAATATATTGTGTTAACACCTTTCCCACTCCATCCCCTCTACCAAACAAATGAAATGAAATGCATGAACCATGTCTTGGTTTGCAAATGAAAGTTGGTATTTGTATTTGCTGCCATGTCTCAGAGTGTTGTTTTTCATTTTAGACTTTCCATGGTAGTAAACACTGCAATGCTTTACATTCATTAAGCTTGGGCCCATTTACTCTGTGCAGGCAAAGCAAGTGCATATATCTTAGACCCATAAAGCATCAGTTCAGAATTACACAGGAAATAAATGAGCCTAAGCCAGAAGTCCAATTTCCAGAGTCCAGCTCACTACAGCTAAACAAGCACCTTAGATAAATATGGCCTATTTTAAATGAAACATTAGTGTAATCTGATAACTGTCAATAATTCTCTCATTATGCCTAAATGAGCTTGTCATCGTAGGAGATTGCTGCATGGCTGATCTTAATTTGCTAATAAAAAACACAGAGACGAATTTCAGCTAAGCTGAAACTATCTGATTCATAAAAGTGCAATAGTGCACTTTTTAAAGCATTCCTTCCCAGTCTTGGCTCCTCACTGGCTGAAGCCCAAAGCCAGTTTGCTCCACAGCCTGTAGGAAGGCAGCTTTGCTATGTAAAAACAGTGAGCAATTGTCTCTCTAAATCACTATTATTCCTTAGCCCATTATATTTAATTTATTTTTAATCATGTTGTATAATAGAAATAAAATCATTGGATTAAGCATATATCTAGCAGCAAGAGCCCATTATCCTTTGACAATGTTCTGTTTCATCGGCATTATATCTTCATTGTAGACAGTTCCCTTGCCATCATTAGTCCTAAAATGACTATTGGATTTCAAGGGTTTCTCCCTAATCCATAATAAGATTTACTTGGTAACAGCACAAAACAAAGATATGCTTCTATTGTTTTACTGCTATGGAATTCTTATTTTAAGCTGTTCAGAAAAGTCCAGAATAAATCCAGATATTATAAGTGTTTCAAATTTTCCTGTGTTATTCTGATTAAAGTGAAAGCCTCAGTAACTTTGTAAGCTTTGGAACTTTGTTACTCATTGTAGCTTTATTTTACTTAAGCAAGCAACAATACTTAGTTCTTGAACAGAGTAAGATCTACTATTCCTTGTACAATGATATTTTCAGACCACTTAAAGCAAATCTCAATACAGTCCATTTTCTCCAGAAAGGGCTAAAAGGGGTTTATCAGATTCCATGGGGGAAAAAAAGGACAAACTTCCATGCCAAGGTTGCCAGCAAATCCTCTGTGGTAAGTGCTAGCTAACAGAGTCAGCGCTAACATTAGGAAGTTAAGGACTCCTCCAGCATGCTGATCCCCATGGGATAATTCAACAGCTCTTCATCTGTACCAACGGCAGTCACAGTTAAATCTAAAACTAGATTTTTCCACACCCTATTAACGGCAGCATTGGAATGCAGCAGGGATCATCTGGAGAAAAGAGCATTTTCTGTTATCTCATAGTTATCTTTGAGGAGGTGGCAGATTTCCCAATGAAAAATTATCCTTATAGACTGCCTCTTATTTAAGGATCTGCTGGTACTATCAAGTGGTGCTCTTTTTATGCTGAAATTGCTAGCAACAATTAAGAGTATCTATCTGCATGACTCTTTCAGCTGTGAGTGCAGCTTCAATAGATACCTATTTTCCATGCATGTAAGCTATGACACTTTCACCTATACTGACATGATCTGCATAAGCCATGTGGTTTCCACTGAGAAGGGTTTATACAATAGAGTCAACTCTCCATTATCTTGACTAATAGGGGAAAAGAATAACCCAGATAAAGGAAAGACATGCATAATTACTGCTTCCAGATAAGAGCCGGCTCAAATATTTCTGCACTGTGCTCCCCAGACAGAGCTTGTACTTCTGTCAGAGCTTGCTAACTTTGACTTTATTAACTCAGGCGTTACCTGCATCCATCTGGTACAAACTAGGCAGCTTGGGTGTCTCCATGATTTAATCACCCCACAAGTAATCTACTAACTGATAATTGTCTTGGCTGTAATTAAATAACAACTTCCATATTCACCCTTTTATATGTGCTGATACTGATACAGCATAGATCCATTCATGCATGGCCATGTCAAGGTTGACTGTGGCATAATGAGGAAAGGCAAATTATGCATGAAATGCAAGAGGAGTATGTTCAAAAGACAAGGAAATGCAGAGGGCACACAATGATGTAGAAGGGCTTTATATACACATCCAACAACCCAGAATTAACATAAACACTTCTCTTATTCCCATATGGCCCTTGTAGAGGAAGTATGCTCAGGACTCTCATAGGTAACACGGGAGGAACTAGAACTACCTTGCTGCACCAATTGTCAGAGGTTTTCTGGGTTTTTTATTATGTTGTAATTATTCAGCCACGTTGAACATTTGTCAGGTGTGAGAGCTCATAATCTGTAATCTCCATGGACCTTTTAGTATTGATACATAGCCTTCCTGATCTCAGCACTGGTATATAAATTGTATTGTTCAGTCACAAGAGACACTCAGTTGTGTTACAGATATATGGGCAAAACATTGTCTTCACCACTACAGAGAGAAATACAGATTCTCTTATGAAGAAAATTAAAATGTTGCAAATATTTTTTTCTGGATTCCTATGGGAGGAAAAGGATCATAAAGAAATAAACTCAGACTTACTGAAATCAGCAACTATTTCTTATACACCAAAGTGAAACATCTTATGGAAACAAAACCATTGCCAGGCAAGTTTTTAATGGTGTACTTGTACATGACATTGCATTGATGAACTGATGACTATATTTTGCCACATTCCATGTTGCATTTACAAATTAGCATTGCCTTGGTTTGTCTGCACATTACAATCAGACAGAGCTACACAACAATGCAAGCCACAGGCCAAGCTGCAAAGGGAAAACTGATAGGTTTGAGAAGTTAGCAGTATCATGTGATGTTACAAGACTGGCTACAGAAAAAAGCAACTAACAGCAAATTACAGTGCCACAAATATCAAATCCCCAAATATCTGTTCATTTTGCTTAAAGCATCACATACAGTGTTCAGATCACTGCGGAGGTCCTGAACAACGTTTTCTATACTCCTGGTATCCTTCAGAATCTCAATGCTTTGTGTATATGGATTGAAATACACAGAGAAGGGACGATTGATTGATTTGGCAAAGTCCCTGAAAGAAAAAACAAAATTAACATATCTGGGTTTTTTTGACTGCTAAAGAAAAGAAAACTAGATTTTTGAGTCAAGGGAAATATTTTACCTCATCTTTTCTTTGGCTTCTTCAAAACTTTCTGAAACAAAGTATGCTTCCTGGAAAGTAGTGATAAGGCATTCTTGCAAACAGGTTGTCTTTGGATCAAATGTTTTCACGTTGGCCTTGTCAGAGAGAGCATGCTGCAAAATACACAAGAGGATCTGTTAAACAATGTTTCGACACTGCTGTGCATCTATACAGCTGTTCATATATATAGCTTTTATATCACTGTGCTGTGTGTTTCCCTTTAGTTAATAGCCTCTCTTATTTTACATACAGTGGTTTTTCAGTTTGAGCAGAATAAATCATTTGTTACTTAAAAAAGCCCTTTTTAGGAGAGTAATTTTTCCCCAAAAATGATTATTAAAATAATACAGAGGAGATTAGAAATTCACCTGCCATGTAGGCATACAAACATAAATCCTCAGCTGGAAAGAGGAAAGCCATCAAATAACCACCCCTAAAAATTTATCTGTACAACTACAAGTATGTATATGCCCAAAACATCGCTTAACTGGCAGAACTGATGATCATCTTGGTGGGTGAACTGAGTCTGACCAAACCATTCATATAATCTGTGCTTTACATTTCCAGGCCAAAATCATATACTATTTTCCTAACAGTGAGTTTAAGAAACTATATATCTGAAAACCAATTAAATAATGCCCACTTATATTGCATGCTGACGAAATGCACTACATTCTGCCACGTACTGCTGAGCAATAATGCTCTATATAGTATTGTAAAGAAAAAAAAATAACTAAATAAAAAGGCACAAATAAGTACAGAGCAGACTATGGGCAGATGATGCATCAAATGCTGCTACCCAGAGAAGAAATTTCCAATTAGCCTTTCTTTTTATGTGTCAGGCACAAACCACTAGAAAGGAGGCAGAAGTTCCAAAACTGAGAATCAGGTACTGAGATGTTTTCCAATACAATCTTTTTGTAGCCCCCCTTTCTATTTGAACAATTGTGTTAGCTTTTGGATCTACCCTAACTTTTAGAGCACATGTATTTTCATTCTCAGTGCTCTGTACAGAAGTACAAGCTAAGGAAAGAGAGCATATTTAGGTCAACTTTCAACCTTTTTAAATCTTCTAGTATCTACTCATAGTGAAGATGTACATGAAAAGCATGGAGAAATGACAGGGAGGGAGCAGATCCCTGAGGTCCAAAGGCGCCTCTTATTTCTTTACTTTTTTTCTTCATGGACATTCTTTATAGCAGAGTGAGGTATTAATATTAAGGTATTCACCACACCTTTTATCCAAGCTTTTGCTTATGCTCATTTCTAAATCCCTGTGAAAGGCTCTGAAAATATCACACTAGCTCTCAACCTGCAGTCTCCAAATAACAGGACATAAAACTGGAACAAGAACCTCTTCCTCCCACCTCTTCTATCTCCAAAAATAAATACATGAAAAATTAATGTATGAAAACTTAAAATGTCAGGGAATTAACTTTCTTTAGTACATGTATCTTTTCCTTCTCACAAGGTTTGCAGTTTCTAGCCAGCCATCAGTTAAACAGGTTTGAAAAAATAAAGTAAAAAATGGCCTGTCTTGAATAGCATCCTCTTCTAAATGGATTGCAGAAACAGGCTCACCATAGGCCGCTGTCTATATCTGTCATCACTTCCTCCTTTCAGAGCCATGATGTAGTTGAGTGCCTGTAAATTTAGGCATTTACCTCCTTCTACCAAAATGAATGTGTTTTTTATTGACTGGGAATTAAAATGCCCTGGGATGCTAACTATAGCTAAAAACATCTCCTGTAAAGGTGCCTTCATACTTCCAGGTGAGACTTGATGCCTCAAATGTCTAAAGCACAAAGTTTTAGAACTCTGGGTGATGCGCTGTGCAGGGTATCAAGAGTGACATGGGTCACATTTTCTTAGGAACCAAATCAGCAGGTGACCACTTCTGGCTCGTGGTTTCTTTCCTATACTGTGACAGCTTTAACAGAAAGGGTGACAGTGTTGTCATTCCCTCTTCTCCTTCACTCACTAATGGCCTCTGCTGGGCTAGGCCTACTCCTTGGGATATAAGACATCAGAGGCGAGAAAGGACTCAGCCTGTGGCTCCCACATCATGAACAACTGCTCTGGTCACTTAGCACAATTTTATAAAAAGGGAGAGTTTAAAGAGAAGAAAAAGGTAATTCTTTATCACAGTGGATGTGCACTGAGAAAGCCCTCCTGGTTATTCTCCTCAGATCTTGTATATGAAATGACTCCTACTTTCTGGATCCCAGTTCAGTTTATGCATGAGCAGAGGTGCTGTTCCACAAAGCAACTCTGAAGAGACTGCAATGTGCAGAAACCAGGAGACATACAACCTGGAAGCAGAGGGTAAAGGACTCATGCATGCCTTCAAAGTTAGGTGACAAGTGATTAGTTATTTTTAGGGATGCAGTTTAGGAATGAAGTGCCTACATTCTGATGAATTCACACCCAAGACACCTGTCTATCTCCAGTCTCAGATACAGTCTTTTGGTTCTTGCATCAAGCAGGCATTGACACGCCTACTAAAGCAATGGGAAACATCTCTGTGAATCTAGATGTTTTCAAAGCCTGCAGCCTAGTGCCTCTGATGTCTACTATTGACTTGATGTGCTGACACCAGCGACAGCAGAGTTCAGAAACTGAACTGAGCCTGTAGACAAACCTTCAGATAGAACATAAACTGCCTGGTGCTAACTAGGGTGGTCAGGACACTGATTCAAAGCCACACTAGAGGTTTGGCACTTTCAACATTATGATGCACAGAACCTCAACGAAAAACTGCCTGGTGAGTCCAAAAGCTTCCAAGATATATTTTTTAATGCATGCTATTCACTTATGTTCTGGTTAGACATTCAGTTCTTCGTTGAACTCAAATAAGTAAGTATCCAATAGAGATTTCTCCATTAGAGACCTCTTCAGTTATCCAAAGAAATGTCAAGGTTAACATTGTCAAGGTTAACAAGGTTAATCATAAGGAAAATAACATTTGGTCAAACAGAGCATTTTACCATCTTGTGCATTTGTGATAACTGTCTCTAAGGGCCCATTCATACAAACTGTACTGCTTATGGTAATATGGCCATTGGTGATTCTCATTCAGTGCAAGCAACAAATGTTTGGAGTGAAAATTCCAAATGAATCGTCCATGATTCCCAGGAAAAGCAGCACTATCAGACAACCAGACAGTTTAAGAATCAGACAACTGCCGTATTGGAAATAAGCACAGCACTAAAGAAATGCCTCAGTGACCTGCTAGATCAAGGGTTGAGACTGATTGAGGTACCTAACCACAGGTCTCTAGGGGCTACGATGTTTGATGCATCTGTATAGGGATGGAAGATATAGCACAAGTCCTAAAGAAGACTTATGCATTTCTGAAGCGGCAGCTGAAGAGAGCTGGTCAGATATACCGGGGCATCTCAGAAGGCACTAGGAATTTACACTGAGCCGAGAACCGTTAATCACTTCCTAAGTGACCACTACCATTGACACATGAAGGAAGAGCTTGGTCTTGCAATTTCTCCTCTGAGTACAAAAAATGGAGTGTAATAATATAACTTTTTTTTTCACAAAAAAAACCACCACCACCACAAAAAATAAATTAAAAAAAAAAAAAAAACCAAAACAAACACCCAAAACCCAAAGCAAAATCTTCAGCTAGCTAGGAGAAAACTTCAGATGAGTTATAAATACAGCACTGTCTGAGGAGTAGAGGAGGGCAGAATAAGGACACAGATGAGAAGTTGTCTGTGTGCCAGTACTGATTTTACTACCTTATTATTTCAAGGCGGGAACAGAGTATTGGAAAACCTGCTCTTAAAAGGTTTTTCTGATTATCTACAACACAGGTTACAAATCTGACAGTGTCCTGATTTTACCAGATTTTTTTTTTCATCAGTATAATTTTCTATGTTGTTTAGAGAAATAAAGGAAAGACTCTCTATTTAAAAAGGCCACTAAACTTAGCATCTGGGATCCAGAAGCTGTCTTCTCCATCATCTTCATACTCTTCAGAAAACAGAGTCAAAGCTTTTATTTGAATCATTTTGGTTAAAAAAGTTAATGCTGGCTCTCCTTAACATAAATTATCATTAAAACAAAATATGACATCGTATATGGACATCACATGTGACTTTAAAAATCCATACAGAAAGACCTGAAGTCTACCTCTCTGTTAAATATAGAAGCATATAACAGGGATATGACTTGATCTACAGCCAACTGAAGTTGATAGGAGACTCCTTTAATGAAAGAATTCAAGAGAGCATCATACACAGCAAATGGATTAACGTTTCCAAAGACATTTGGACTGCCTTTTAGAAATAGTTTTAATAATTGAAAATGTACATTATTTCTGCCTTATCTCTAAGCCCCAAATATATACTGTGTAATAGCGTTAGCTAGAGTTAACCTGACTATATTAGGCAGAACATTTTATAACTACTTACTGTACTATTTGTTTCCCCCCGGGCTTCACTTCTAAACTTCTCTTTCTCCTTATTTTGTTGTGCTTTTAAAAGTTTTTTGCCTCATAGCATGCACATCAGGAGCTGCATTTTTCAGTTTCTGAAATTTGAAGTCTAAGTATTGAGTGAGGAAAAAGACTTGAAGAAAATCCTATACTGATAGGCTGGTGCCCACGTTTCTCTAGCTTTTATAGTTCTTGGTTGCTGAAGTTGTTTACTAGATTTGCAGACTGGAGCCATGTAATAGAGAAACCAGGATGACTGAACAAGCCATTCATTCATCTGAAAGGCCCAAATACTGTAGGCCACTCCCAGCCTTCAAATAATGCAACTCATTTATTTCTAGAAATTTCTAAAAATTATCCATAAAATTGGGCACTGTTTTGCGTCCTGGAAATAATACTGTTGCACTGAAAAGAGAGCTGATAGGGTGGGCAGCTGGAAAACAGCTTTTCTTCTTGCTGACAAAACCATGTTATTATCAAATGCCTGTAAAATCAAGGCAACAAAATTCAACACTGACACAAAATCTACCTTCCTAGTGGCAAGGATAAATAAGTATTTGAACTTCTGCAGAGACTGGACAACAGGCTCACAATTACTGTTGTCTTAAGAATGGCAGTATTTATTTCTGAAAGGGCTTCTTCACTCCGACTCCTGTGAGAAGTATGGCATCTGTACACAAGGGTCAGACTTCATAACCATGCAATCTCAGTTTCCTATTCATCCCCACTCACCACAGAAATATCCAGTATTGTTGTTATCATTTTGAGAGCAGTTCCTGCCATCCATATCAGGATATTGATATTATTGGGATCTCAACCAAAGTCTGTTATATTAGCATTATCTTTCAGACACCTTCAGGTTAAACAAGACATTTTCCCTCCCAGTAGGTGCTAGGAGGTGGAAGTAAGGGAGTTTGCTTTCCCAGGAAACTTGTATGGCTTGATGCAAGACTGTGCACCAGTCCCATGGGCAGCCAGATATTTTCCTTTCCTAAGCATTTGCCTGATGTATCTTATTAAGAAGAAGCACATTCACTGCCAGGTTTCTGGTGTAGAAACAGCTTCTCCTGTGGTCATATTTGGAGAAAACTTAGTAGTGTTTTACATTTTTTTCCTTACCTTTTACCTTATTTTCTACCATGGAGCACAGCCTCAAACGTTTTTCACCTTATCATTTTCTTCATGGAGACTGGCTATCTGTGGTATGGTGCTGTTCTGTGACTGCAGCACACAAGTCCTTAGTTTCTCAATAACTGAAATGTCCAACTTAAGTCCCTATGCTCAGTATATGCAAGATCTGGAGAAATTTAATAGCTTATGATACACAAGAGGTCAAACCAGATGATCGAATAGTCCCCTTCTGGCTTCCCATCTATGAAATATATATGTAGTATAATAGAAAAGTATATAATATTATTGATTTATGGCAAAATTATTATGATATATGGCCATACCTTTGAAGCAGATCAATATAGTCCATTAGTGGGCACATTATTTAATTTTTACCATTGCTTTTCAAAAGGATTATTCTTTGCATTTATACTATGAGATTACTGCTGAGTGAAGAACACAGATTTGGGATCACAAATGCGAGGTAACAAAATATGCAGACTTGACAAGAATAATGTGTTTGTTTATGACATTGATGGTAGAAGATTTATTTCATTCTTGACTATTCATCTCCTCACTTTTATGCCCTTAGATTTTGTAAATGATGTGACAGGTATTTTCAGGGTCATTACCTAATGACTGTTTAAATAAGAGGCCAGATTCTCTGCAGACTCCTGCACAGAGTTTGGGCCTTAGCACTGAATGTTGTAGGGCCAGAAGAAGTGGGACATATTCATCTCTCTGCATCTAACCATCTTTGCACTGTGAGTATAAAATATTACTAGGCTGATACAGAGCACTGTGGCTGAAGTATGCACTGAACTTGGAGCAGCTGTAATGCAACCAAAGAAAAATACCGGAGAAGGCAATTTTCTTCAACCTTTTTTCTCCTAATGAAAGAATAGCAATTTGACTAATGAGCTTCACCATGAATATTCTCATCTACAGGTGAAACAAACATTAAAGAAGAGACTGAGATTATTCTATTAAACTGCTAGGTAGTTCACCAAAGAAGCCAGCGCAGGAGGGTGGGGAGAAGTTAAACATAAAGAAACAGCAGATATATTGCAAAACAGTTTGTAAATACTATTATACATATACTGTATACATGTACTATTATGTGCATGCTTTCTAAAACCAAATCTTTACCTGAAAAGCCACCAAGAGTTCATTTAGATGCCAGAAGATAGAACTACTCCCTCTCCCTCCCTCCCATCTTCCCAAGAGAGAGATGTATTAAGCCCCCAAATACTAGACTTGTGAAAAAATACCTTTTGCTTGTTCCCTATGTTTTCTAGGCATAAAAAGAGGCAATAAATGATCCACTACAACTACTCACACCATACAAGGTTAAACACTTTCACCTTTATAAGAATAGGGCTCTAGGTATTGTCACACTGGCATGTACTTCAAATCTAGCATGAGTTCATATGCATTCCTTAACTTTAAATATGATTAAACTACTGAATCAGGACCTTAATAAATGTTGTTCTTTTAATATCAATAATGAATCAATTGAAATACACTGGATTACTTACACCAGAACCACATATGATTTCAAAACATTTTTTGTATGTTTTAATATTATATGCTTTTCTTCTAAACAAAGTTTTCAGAGCTCAAGGAACCCTCACCTGTTACAACCTAAGAGCCGCCTTTTACAAGAAATGCAAATTCAAACAGAAATTAGTTCTGTAGTTTGTAGTTGCTTTGGTACTTTGGGCCTTACAAATCCATTTCATGCTTCAAGTGCCAGCTGATATTTCAAACAAAGCTTCTAGGTCAATATCACACTTTAAAAGTAAGCTTTTTATCCTGACAACTTTAGTTGCTATCTGAAAGTCAAAATATTTACATCCAACTATTATTTTGTTAAGAATAAAAAAAAAGTTGATTCTGCTTTAAGGACACATACCTTTAATTCGCCAATAGAAGACAGAAGTCCTGCCCCATAAGCACGTAGCTGTCCTTCTTGCTTGCAAAGGCCAAACTCAATTGTAAAAAAATAGCACTGCAAAACATAAAGATACATATAGTGCAGCCGCAAACAGGCACTTCAGCAATGACAATTGGTACCATATTCGCTTGATTGCCCCACTTCTTCAGAATTTCATGTCTTTCACATAAATTCAGATAAAGTATGTTGTTACTGCTAAGTACTTTAAATGTCATGGTCTGCAGTAGCAGAGCTTTGCACAAAAATGTGTGATTCTGCTTTTTTTCTGAACCCAATCAGTCCACAGGAATGGCCAGTTAGGAACAGACAAGCAAGATCATTTAGGTATCAAAAGCACTGATAGTAATCTGCAGAGACTTTTGAAACCTCCTGAAATAAATGAGGTGCCTTAAAATAAAATCCTGCAAGGTAGTTGGTCTGCCTGTCTAGAAGCCTCTGAATATCTCTGAGATCTAGTTCAGAGCTCACAGCTTTAAGTTCGAGCTGATGCCACTTTAAAGTGTGTCACATATTGAAGTACTTTCTTGAGTTAGAATTAACTTAACTTACATGTATGTGTTTAAGAGCCTTCTTGAGCCGAGGCCTTAGACTTCGCTTGATTTTACACTGTCATAAATGAAGAACTAATATGCCACTTGGCTTCTTGAATTACAGAAAGAAAATTACAGTCAGTTGAGTAAGTTCATTTGACCAATCCATTACAACTGTTCTTTAGGGCTACATTCAATCAGGTAACATATCTGATAACAAACTGATGAGGAACTATGAAAGAGAGGTGCTAAACTGGCATAATGGTACTGTAACTAACTTTGCTGTATCCACCCAACAAAGTTAAATGTTAGGAAGACCGTAAAAAGCACAGATAGCTCACTGACCCCTAAATGCAAAAGAAGACAGTCACTTCTGCTCCTATGGTACTGTGTTTTAGTTTGGTTTTGCTATGACACGTCAAGATTACTTTTTGATGTTAGATCCAACAGTTGAGATTAAGCTAGTAACTATTTCTACATTTGAAGGTTTTAGGAAGTTGATTTCTAACTTACACAAAAACATTACATATACTGCATATATACACACATATCTATATACACGTGTGCTTATTACATTACCTGACAATTTCAGGTTTTGTGCAAAAGGACATAACTCCACTGAACCGAACAGATTTACAAGTCTTTGCAGGAAATGCGAATTTAGGATAAGAACCCAGTATCTGGCACTTTTAGTTTTTCTGAATTACTTGAGAATGGATCCTAACATGATGACTTATTTTTCATCCATTTCCCTCTTAAACCCCCACTCTTCCAAGTTAAGCATCATACTAAACGCAAAAGAGCAGAAATTAACAGCTTTTTTAAGTTCAACAAATGTTTAGAAATTGACAAATGATTCATTTCTCTGCCTCATAAAAGTTCCTGTAGAGCTAGTGATTCATGCAGCATGGCACTATATAGAAGGGTGTGATAAAAAAGAATAAAAATATGAGCCCTGTGTCTAACCCACAGCTGCTAAGTCAGCTGGCAAGAAGAAAAGGTTGTGGTGACTTCAAATGCCCTGAGTCAGATTCCATCACAGCAAAGGCACAGATATACACTAGGGGAGGTGAAAGCATAACTCTGACCAGAAAAAAAATGACAATTAAAAAAAAAAAAAATATCAAAGTTCCACTACTGGTCTTGTTTTTGACTCAGATAAAGGCAAATTGGCATAAAATATTTCATTAGATGTAATGAGCTGGTGTCATCATTTAAAAGAAAGCCAAGACAATTGGTTTCTAAAAGAGACACCTCAGGGACAAATAGCCAGGTACACAAAATGTCAAAGGCATCTCTAGGAATGATGAGTGAAGCTGAGAGACCTACTGCCAAAAAGAGTACAAAGTTAGCTTCCCTGTCTGAATATTTTGCCAGGAAAACCTTCAGGAGGCTACCTACAGTCTTGCTTCTGTACATGCTGGCACTGTCAGCAATGGACCACTCAGCTTTACACTTTAAATCCCATTAACACCTTCGAATTTGCCCCTTCCCCATTAACTCTCTTAAAACAACACATCAGGTAGTGGTTCTTATGCTCTGAACATGAACACCCTGACAGATACACAGCAGGACTGGGATCCTGATAAAACACAGTGGTGATTACAGTCACTTGCATTCTTAAAACCAACTGCAGCTAAAAAGGGCATGGTCTGGTGTTTGTCTGCTATAGATCTGTTAGAGCAGCCATGACTTTGTCCCTCAATGTGGGACACTTTTACTGTAGACTTTTCTCAGGTTGAGAAGGACCAAACCAATGTCACGCTGCCCACAGGAGAATTCTCACTTAGCAATCCATAGGGACAGTGGAGGGAGGGAAGAGAAATGCTCTCCGCTCCCCTGAGAAGGTGCACTGTTGGGGAATGAAGGGGCAGAAGGTAGAGAGCTAACACTGGCAAAGGTGAGAGCAGTCCTTGCTGCCATGGAGTAGGGTGTGCATAAGACAGAGGGAGACCTCAATGGCAGTTCCTCCTTGATTGACACACAGCACACAAAAAAAGCTTTTTTTTTTTTGCTTAAGTTCAAAAATTATTACAATTGTTACTATTATAAGAAAATATACTATTATTATATTTATGAGCCAACACTCGCTGACGACAGCCTATCTTCAGCGTTGATAAAACTTGCACTCTCAGGATAACTAACTCAAATAAAATGCATGCAAAATGACCAGATGATAAAATACGTCTGCCTACTACTAACTTCTGGTATTAAGCTACAGCATTAAGAAAAGTCCTTCAGATGAAAAGCTGATTTTTTGATAAATTTGCCATATGCAACAACTACAATTTCTGTATTTAAGAGACCTCTGCTTAGCTAAGAAAACGCGATTGCTCACCCAATACTGCCATCTTCAGATCGTTAGGCAGCAACACACGGTTCCCCCCCGCCTCCACTCACAGGCTCACTCGGTGCCTTACAAGACCCTGCAGGCTTTGGCAAGCTGTGCTCTGAAGTCTACAGACACCGAGGCATACTGATAAGGAGGTTGAATGTTAACTATACAGAGACACGTTTTATAAGACCAGACGCAGAAATACCCACTTAATCACTCTCTTTGTATGGTAAACCACACTGAATGTGGTAATCTGTATTTTATATAAGATAACTGACACTGGAGTGGGAATGATAGGACAAAGAAATGGCTGTTGAGAATAATAAATTTGTTAAAGCCTCACCTGAAGGCAAAGAGCTGATTATTGTTGTTATATGTGGTCACTTGCTGAATGCAAGCACATGCTGAATGCAAGCAAAACAAGGCACACAGGCTCTCGTTCTGATTTCAAATCTTAGTCATGTTTCTGGCATACTCCCCAACCTACAGCCCTAGGCACGTGGCCCTTCTACAAGCTACAACAATATCCTGTTGTCCCCCCCCTACTTCCAGCTCCACCTCATCTTTGGAATGAAGTGTGGCTTTGCTATCTACAGGTAGGTTTTTGAAGTAGTATGTTGTAAAAATTCTGTAGTTCTTGAAGAGCCTTCACCTAAAATGCACCTGCTTTACCCAAACCAGCAAAGTAAGATGAAGAATCAAAGAGCCAAATAAAGGATTGAAGAGAATTTTTAAGACAAGAGACTCGCCCCAGCCCTGAGGAGAAGGACTTCGGGGTGCTGACTGATGAGAAGCTCAACATGAGCTAGCAGTGTGCACTCGCAGCCCGGAAAGCCAACCATATCCTGTGCTGCATCAAAAGGAGCGTGACCCAGCAGGTAGAAGAAGGTGATCCTGCCCTTCTACTCTGCCCTCATAAGATCCCACCTGCAGCACTACATCCAGCTCTGGGGTCTGCAGCAAGGATGTGGGCCTGCTCAAGCAAGTCCTGAGGAGGACCACGAAGATGATCAGAGGCCTGGAGAAGAGAAAGCTCCAAGGAGACTTTAAAACAGCCTTCCAGTGCCTAAAGGGCTCCTACAAGAAATCTGGAGAGGAACTTTTTACAAGGGCATGTAGTGATAGGACGAAGGACAATGGCTGTAAACTGAAAGAGCATAGATTTAGATTAGATATTCTCCCAGTTCTTTACTGGGAGGGAGGTGAGTCACTGGAAAAGGTTGCCCAGAGAAGTTGTGACTGCCCCATGCCTAGCAATGTTCAAGGCCAGGTTGCATAGGGCTTTGAGCAACCTGATCTAGTGGAAAGTGTGCCTGCCTATAGCAACAGGGTTGGAACTACATGATCTTAAGGTCCCTTCCAACCCAAACCATTCTGTGATTCTATGAGACATCATTGTAATGACTAAGACTGCCAGGAGCATAAGACAGTAACCAATACGATTTTAATTTATTTCTCTTATTTAATGAAAGTATACAAAAGATACTTTACTGTCAAGTGCACGAAACACTGTCCACATGGGTCCAAAAATTATTAAATGGATCGACTGAAGAAAATCTTATTAAGGGCTATTAATTACTGATAGAGCAGATCTCTTCCTCCAGACTGCCTGAAGCAAAAGTCATTAGCAACTGGAGCAGCATACCAGGAAAATATTTCCACCATATGGCTTTCGGTCTACACTGTCCTCCAGATGTCTGCAGTTTGCAAGTATTAGAGACAAGACATTGGGGTACCTGATCTGGTCCCATATATGCGTGATAGTAAGAGTCAGACAGGTGTCCTATTATCTGCCTGGAAAGCCCTGGCTAAGTCCAAGCCTGGTCTCCAAGGTAAATACAATCTCTGCTCTTCACGTTCAGGTACTGTCCCGCATTAGAAACTAGACTACCAGAAAGAAAAAGAAAACAAAAGTGACTAATAATAATAAATTATTCAAGGCTGTGTAGACATTTTCAAAGGCAGGAGAAGAGGACTGATAAGTTGAACTCTCTTCGTCTTAATGGTAGAAACCTTTGAAAATCACTCCTCACATCACATCATTCTGTAATTGGGAATCTCCCTCCTGGGACATATGCAAACAGTTTGTGCAGGGGTTTGGGTGCTACGGTCACAAAGTCAGTAGTTCTAAATCTGCTAGCAAAAGGCCTTACAACCCATTCCACTTTGCTTAGTTTTCTTATGGTATA